TAATTCTATTATTCATAATATAATATCATGGCGTAATCTTTGAAAGGAAGAGGTGCTCACATATACAATATGACCAAACTTTTCCCATTAATGTTATGACTCCCATGCATTAGGGAGTTGCATAAATTAGTATTTGCAATCTTATTTGTAAATTAACTAAAAATCGCGGGTTACTCACGTGAATATACTGAGAAAAGCTCTACTAGTTTCGAATCACAGAGGGGTTCTTCCTCATGAGCAGCGCGTAGCCTACTGGCTAGCGTTGGCGCTCGCATCGGTGTGCCACTTGTGCACGATGAACAATTACCAACGCCAACGACGCGACTCGAAACTATTAGAGCTTTTCTCAGTATATTCACGTAGTAACCCGCGACTTTTAATTAAATTTACTATGTTTCACGATAGCTATTATAAAAACATCTTATTTGTAAGAAAAATAATTCTGCTATAATTATTATGCGTTACATTTATGTCGGCTTATGTTAGTCATTGATAAAAAAATATTTGTATCTTATTTTAGTTACATATAGAACATATACTTTTATAGTAATCAAGATATCGAGGTCGCAGGCAACCATAGTGTCTACAGAGGGAAAAATAATAGGGTTGAATTGGTCGCCGACAACTAGTTGATATTTTCATGGTTGCGCGACCAGGGTGCTTACTCTTGAAACCAATCTCAATGACAATGCAATTTCAATCCAATAAATCTCAATAATTATTCAATGTCGACACTATACAACCCCAATCGCAGCTGTTAAAATAGCATTCAGAGTACGGAATATAAAGCCAAATTCCAAAGGTGGATTGACACGAAATGATGAATAGGGTAGATGACAAATTTTTATTTCAATGTCCGTCTGGTAGATTATTTAAAAACATTAGACACGTATTTTTTATTTCCTTACAGAAACGAATAGTAACGAAGATATATCGATTTAAAATATCGCATGACGTCACTGTTGAGTACGATTTATACTCTAAAATGACGTAGCTACCTCCCACTCCTAAATTTTGATTCGTTTTATAAGTATTGTTTTGTGTTGTGCTATACGACAAAATAAAAAAATACGTGTCTAATATTTTGTCATTACCTAACTGACGGACTAATCAGATTGTTAATTTTCATACCCTGTCATCATCCCTAATTATATCCATATTAATGGTAATATAGGTACATATTTGATGAACAGCCCTATTTATTTCAGAATAGGTACTTGTAGATTAACATACACTCCAATAATCAAAAGCTGCAAAATTTTAAGTTGTACTCAAATATAGTGTCGTCTGTCATTTTGTAGTCACAAAACTATACCTAACTGCTCATTCCTCAAGCGCTCACCAATAACGCCATTATAGGCCTTATTACCGATGTTTACAGACTACTTTTGTATGGACTTTAGGGTACGATAGCAACACGTTAAGCCGACCTAAAATTGAGTAGCGTTTCAGAATTGGGATAACCTCATTTAGGCAGCATTTGAGCGGCGTGCGCGGTCGCGGCGACGTCGCGCAGCTCATGAGGAAGAACCCCTCTGTGGTTCGAGGCTATGGTCGTGGTGGCCCGGAGGTTTAAGACGCCCGCTTCTCATGCATGAGGGTGGTTCGAAACCTACCAACGGCAAGTTCCAATGTGACTTTTTCAGAGTTACATATACTTTCTACGATTATCTAGACACCACTGACAAACGGTGAAGGAAAACATCGTGAGGAAACCTGGACTTATAATTTCTAATTATAAGTTTGTAATCGCCAACCCGCATTGAGCAAGCGTGGTGATTAATGCTCAAACCTTCTCCGTGTGAGAAGAGGCTTTGCTCAGCAGTGGGCATTTATAGGCTGTTGATGATGGAGCATTTCTCGGTATATTCACGCGAGTAACCAGCGTTTTTACTTAGTTTAAAAAAAAAAACTATATGATAACTTTCATATCAGCTACACTCTGTCTACTGCCTCACATGGTCTTTGTCATCCACATCGGCCGGTTGGACGAGGCCTGCATTTAGCGATTCTTAGCCATTAACTTCTCCAGTAAATCACATTAATATAATAAACTAGCAAACCCGGCGAACACCGTTTCGCCACCAGATGGCTTCGTTTTATGTAACATTTCGTTCGGTGATTAGTGAATTATCTTTGCTATAAACCTCACGGAGCCCGAGACCTTTCCAACGAATGCAAAACCGTGGAAATCAGTTCTTGTGTTCTGGAGTTATAGCGTCAGGAAGGAAAACCCGACTTATTTTTATATAGTAGATGTAAAAATTTCTGTTTGGATCTCTATCCGTCAATAATGCTGAAACGACTGAACTGATTTTGATGAAATTTAGTATACAGGCAGGGTATGAGCTGACTTAAGTGATAGGATACTTTATCCTTATTAAATGCTCAATGGGATAAAACAGGAATACGCGGACAAAGCCGCGGTAAGAGCTAGTAAAAAATATTTCATAGTCAAAATATTTATTGAGCTAACATTGGTCTTATGGCGAAAGAAATAAGATTCATAATAATTTTGACTGCAAATAATTTGCTCATATTTTGTTTTGTAATTTCCTAATAGTCATAATTTTAATGAACAACACTTTATAAAATTCCAATAGAATTACTATAATGTCATTTATACGCCAAAAATACTTAGCTACCACTCATTTTAAAATTTTAAAGTAACAAATAGTTGCAAATGTTATATCATTCATATATTCCATTAAAGTGTTACAATTTAAGGACCGAGTATTGCATTTTTAAAGGTACAATATTTATATTAAATCTTTCGACATACTAAATTAATTATTATGTTTTCGGCTTACTCACGGAACTCTTTGACGCTGCCGCCGATATCACAAATATAGGAAAGTGCTCGTGAATCACGGCAGAGGGCGCGCTGGGCCCGCAGACTCGAGTAGCCAGTAGCAGCGACAGTCACCGCGTCGCGGAATGTAGCTCATGAATATGATCCTCTAGCATGGCTTGACGTTCAAAAGTGTCTCTCTGGTATAATTGAAATGATTTTGACTTTGAAACTAGTCAAGTTCCTCGTCAACAGGTACGTGAGTAAGCCGGAAAACATAATAATTAATTTAGGACGCAATTTTATTTCTGGGCCATGTGAGGTGTCAATAGAAGCTTAAGACCCCAAGTTTGAGGGGTCGCCATACTTGCGCCGGCCGCCATGTACTGACCAGATTATCATAGTCACATTATCTAAGATCTTTTCGTAGATTTAACAGCCAGGTTACACTGTATTTGGTAGACTAAGGACTATTTTCTCCCACGCCCGCCCCGGTTACAGGCCCCCTTTTGTAGAATACAGATATATATGTAAAATATCAAAGCAATTTTCCCGCGGCAGTAGCGATTGTTTGCGGCTCCCGCTACACCGACGGGCGACTATCACCCGCGCGCTCTGCGATCAATTGGCAGCTGTAGCCAAATGCCATTTAGCGCTTGTCTACATGTAGAATAGAAAACCAAATTATATGAGATTGACGTAAATTTTGACACTTGTCAGTGTCATCCCCATACATTTAGTTTTCTACTCTCTCTGTAGACAAGCGCTAAAGTGGCGTTTGGCTAAAGGTACTGATTGTTTAACTGCCCGTCTTGCGATAATCAACTGCCAAGTTTGAGGGCGATAACCGCAACCGGGGCGACTGAGGGATAGCAGAAAACTGGGGTCTCGTTTGAATATTCTGCCTACATTCACCACTCACACCGTGAGTCCTTAGCCTTATTACTCTTAAAAATGCAAACCTCATGTAACACTTCAATGGATTAAAAGAAAATATAAAGCTAGGGATACATTATAAGTATCCACTGATGTTATGGCCATATCTAGGTTTTTTTTTTTGACAAATTTGGTGACACCGCTAGTGTATTCCTGGCTTTAATTAGTCATGTTATAATTCCATATTTTTCTACTATGAAACATCACTCAATCAGTCTAGTTTAGACTATGATTTCTGGGCAGAATTGTATCTGCAATGCATAGTGTGACAGTCAATCGTCTAATCACTGCGACATAGGTCAAAAATGTATTGAAATAACTTAAAGTTCTCTTAAAGCATTGCTTTTATCGTATTTTGTCTGTTTTGGCCTCATTTTAAGACCAAATTTTAAGTAAATATATTTTCAAGTTAAGCCTATTAAGGCGTAAGATCAAATTATGACTTATGACCCATCTCGACGAGATTTGAGCCTTAAATTACTTAATTTACTTAAATTAAGGGCTTCGGTTCCGTCCGAAATCATTCGGCGTACCACGAAAACTTTCGCTTTAGTTACCATAATTAATTTAACATTACGTTAGCACGTTTAGAACATATTTTATTCCGCTATTTAATATGAAATTATTATTTATTCCTAATTTAAGTCTCAGATGATACCGGACTGTATTTTAAAATATCCGACAAGTCGGTCAAATGAGAACGTACATAATGTAGGTCTCAAATCTCTTTAACAAATCTACTTTCATAACAATTTCCATATGAAATTTATATGAAAACTAAATTTATCCAGCATAAAATCGAATAATCGATTCCCGGCCTCCCAGACTGGGTACTTTACCTCTATGTACGTATTTTAACACTAAAATTTTCCAACTGGCATCCACTTTTGGTACTAAAATGTCACTTGCACTAAGAGTGTCCATATCACTTTTTAATTTCACTAATAATAGTCCAATATTAGTAAGTCCATTAATCTAAATCACCATAGGTGGCGTTGTTATCCATTTCTGGTGACACCAGAAATATATACTGTTATAGTGAATATTATCAGTGAACACGTCCACTTTTAACGTATTTTAAAATGGGTATTATCGACCCCATATAATCATAATCTATGGTTTAAATATTTCAAATTTCGTGCAATTCACAATTTTATTTGAGCAATTAAAATATTCACTATAACTTTTGGGGGTCTAAAGCCCCGTGGGGTCATATGCCCCACTTTGGACAACGCACCTGTTTGAGTTATTATAGTATTAGAAATAGTTCCTACTAACTATTATAATCTTTGTCACATCGGTCGTCGTGGTCCCAATATTTGGCGCTGCGCGGTACCTCAGTGACATGGCGTCTTGGGGCCGCCTTGACAGTAGTCCCATCTTCTTCTCCACTACTCCTCCTGTTCAATCTCCCCGCTCTACCATCTCTATTTCTCGATGTAGACCGATCTTTATACTTCTCTTTGTCCTCATCCTCACTGCCGTTATCTTTAGACTTCTGTCTAGTCCAATTTCTTTGTCTATTTCTGTTGGGGTCGTCCTTGACTTCGGATTTTTCTTTTCTCCAATTCTCTACTGGTCTCCGGTTACTGTTTTTCTGTATCTCATTGTTTACTCGCTCAGGCATTGGGGGTACAGGGGTCCTTTCGGCGACTCTTTCGACGGGCCTTTCTGGGGTCTGGGAGACATTCCTTTCTGGGTAACTCTGGAAGTTATCCCCCCCTTGTTGGTTGTAAGCAACGTTTGTATACTGGTTCTGTATATACGCGCCATCACCTTGTTGAAGATAGTTGACAAAATTTTCCGAATAGTTATATCTATTTATGTTCGGCGGTGGGTAATCAGGTACGGGAAAAGGCTGTACAGGTGGTAAGACAGTCTGTTGAAACTCTAATTCTTCCTTTTTTTCTTCCTCCGGCTGTCGCCAGGAATTGAGGTCATATCGTTTGTTGAGGTTATTTTTAGCTGTCCACGTCTCAAATGTGTCCTGGCTCACCGATAGCGCCTGTTCTTGTCTTAACAGTCCAGCACCAGCACCTAATATCGGTCTCAATTTAGGCTTCGTGTCCTCGTTGTTGTTTAGGCTAATCTGCGATATATTTTGGCTCACTTTTTCCGCGATTTCGCTAGCGTCAGGTCTGTATTCTTCCTTCTCGGGGCTTTTTTTCCAGGAGCCATAGCTGACTTCGCTGAAGTTTTCCTCTGTGGTCAATTCAAGGTGGGCGGCGTAGAATTGTTGTAATGTGTTCGGTAGTGGAAGGAATTTGTTGAGACAGAGATCTGCTGATAGTAAGAGCCATATTGTGCTGACTGGTGGGGGCGAGAGCAGACGGAGACGGATAGAGATGGAGAGTTCATCCAGTTCTTGAGCTAGTACGGAGAGTAGTTCACGACCGTTTTGCATTAGCTGTGAATAAAAGGATGTTATTATAATTCTACTCTACTCCAAACGAATTTATGTGCCTACGATATAACGCTAGTAAAGACTATGCAGTGAATCATCAGTGCAACTGTAAGATAAATGTGTATTTAGTGGTGTGAAATTCAAACAAATTATATTTTAAAATATTAAGTTAAATGAATTTATAAAAATACCTTTATAAATTTAAATTCAGTTGAGGGAGCGGGGCTAAGCCGACGGATAATGATGATTCACTGCATTCTCAACGCGAATGTACTATAAAGTCATCTTAGCTGTCACAATAGGCCAGAATTAATAGATTGCTTATGAACAGGCGTGCTTTATCGTAGGTTGCATCATCGATTACCACCAGGCGAGATGTTGATCAAAATCACTAATTGATGAATGGACACAAAGCTCTATAGAGTGTGGGAGTATAAGTGTGGGAGAGCCATGCTTCGGCACGAATGTGCCGGCTCGACCGGAGTGATACAACGACCTCACAGAAAACAGACGTGAAACAACGCTTGCGTTGCGTTCCGTCGTGTGAGTGAGGTTACCGGAGGCCCAATTACCCCCTTCCTCAAACTCCTAATCCCCAAAAGGTCGGTAACGCACTTGTAACTCCTCTGGTGTTTCGGGTGTCCATGGGCGACGCCGATTGCTTACCATCAGGTGATACGTCTGCTCGTTTACCGGCTTATCCCATAAAACATAGACCTGAAGTTACAGAGGTAATCTTAGCGGTGCAGAAACCCCTATTATCTCATTCAGTGGATTGACGAAATTAATTAAAACAGTTCATAAGTCTTAGTGAGATTAACAAACAGTAGTTGACTATAACATAACACATACACATAACAATACGCCTTTTATCACCGAAGGGGTAGGCAGAGGTGCACATTACGGCACTTAATGCCACTGTACAATGTAACACCCACTTTTTATTATTTATGATACGAGTCTCATGTAATAGGGGGTGAGCCTATTGCCATATACCGGGCACAATTCCAGACTTCGTGCTACTACTGAATTTCTTTTTAAACTCAATAATACTTTGCCCGACCCAGGAATCGAACCCGAGACCCTTTGCCCAGCAGTCGCACTTGCGACCACTCGGCCAACGAGGCAGTCTTTTTTTTTAAGGGGGGAAAATCATCGAATGACTGCTCCCGCCTACCCAGGCGGGAAAAAAAAAAAAGACTGCCTCGTTGGCCGGAAGGGAGTGTCAGACTCTTACTGACTAAAAACCACCCCGTTCCTTCTCCTGCACGTCGAGCCGGAGCCCCGGTTACCCGTTAGGTTCTCCGCGACTCCGAATCGGCATCGGCCCTGTTGGGCCCCATCCGTGGTGGTCTGATGGCTCTTTGAGGCGCGCGCGGAACGCTAGGCGCCGTACGCTCGGGTCTGTTTCTGGTCGGACGGGGAGCCACCCATGCTCGCCGTCCGCAGGCCCGCCAACGAGTGTCTGACTAGAGACCATTCAGAAACATACTTGTAGAACATTTGTTTCCAACTTACTTGGGTAGCGAGACTGCGATGTGCACGGATATCGTGGGCGGCGAGTAAGGCACGCAGGTATTGCAGGAGTGGCCCGGCCAAGATGTGAACCTTATTACCATTACAGAGGCGAGCCTCCGCGAAGTAATCCCCCATCAGGTTCGCAGCGTTGATGAGGAACAGCGGGTTTGAGCGCTCCAGTACGTCTAATTCTGTTGATGGAAATGACAATTGTTTAAGATATTTTTCGTTAAAACATTATTTTTTAACACAGTGGATGCCATGTCGGACAATGGTGTCCGACGCTAGCGGAGGACCTTTAACAGTTTTTATCGGCAGTTAAAGGGTTTTTTTTAAGGGGGAAAATCATCGAATGACTGCTCCCGCCTGGGTGAGGCGGAAGGGAGTGTCACACTCTTACTGACTAAAAACCACCCCGTTCCTTCTCCTGCACGTCGAGCCGGAGCCCCGGTTACCCGTTAGGTTCTCCGCGACTCCGAATCGGCATCGGCCCTATTGGGCCCCATCTGTGGTGGTCTGATGGCTCTTTGAGGCGCGCGCGGAACGCTCGGCGCCGTACGCTCGGGTCTGTTTCTGGTCGGACGGGGAGCCACCCATGCTCGCCGTCCGCAGGCCCGCGCTTACGGTGGCCGGAGATCGTCTCGCGATCCCCGACGCCCGGTGTGTCCTTCGCGATGGCTGGGTTGCGAGGAGGCAGCGCTTCGCTGCCTCACGCGTCCCGCCTCCTCCTTAGCTAGCATGACTGCTTCGCAAAAGGAGGAGACGGCATCCCAGTCCCCCTCGCATCATGGCCCGCACTAGCAGTTAAAGGCTTAAGGGGGATAATCATCGAATGACTGCTCCCGACTGGGTGAGGCGGGAATGAGTGAGTGAATGACAGAATGACACTAATACAGATGGCAAAATTCAGCCAGAATTATTCTACAGCTAGTAAGCTACAGGAACAGCTAGTTAGTAATACAATACAATCAAATATTAGTCTCAATTATTGTATCATATTAAAATAACACTACTGTTCAGTGTGGAAGACGATTTATTAACATGACTACAAGGGGTCATTTAGTCCCCATTGTCATTTACTTCATTTTTTATTTATTTTTTATAAAAAACGTTGCCCTACACTAGGATATTCTCCTGTGTCATGAACATACAAGTTCACATACACATGACACCCAGACCCGGAACAACAATCCGTGGATCACACAAAGAGTTGTTCCGTGCGGGAATCGAACCCGCGACACGCTGCGCGGCAGCTGGTTGCCCAGACACCGCACCAACCGTGCAGGCTGGTCCGGTGACTGGACAGGTGAAAAAATACTAAGTTATGCAAAATGTATGACTAACATAATTATTAACGATTAATTTTATTTGTATTATTACCATGACTACATGGGATCATTAATCCCTTTGTCATCTCACTTAATAATTTCTCGTCATGTGATTGAAAAACAAATGTTCACACGTAACATAACATCACGCCTTTTATCCCCGAAGGGGTAAGCAGAGGTGCACATTACGGCTTTTAATGCTACTGTACAATGTAACACGCACTTTTCAATATTTATGTTTTGAGTCCCATGTAATAGGGGTTGAGTCTATTGCCATATACCGGCCACAATTACAGACTCCATGCTACTACTGAGATTGTTTGAAAAAAACCCAGTAATACTTTGCCCGACCCGGTAATCGAGCCCTATACCCATTACCCACCTAACGGGTAACCGGGGCTCCGGCTCGACGTGTAGGAAAAGGAACGGGGTGGTTTTTAGTCAGTAAGAGTCTGACACTCCCTCCCGCCTCACCCAGGCGGGAGCAGGCATTCGATGATATTCCCCCGTTAAAAAAAAAAAATAAAAAAAATACCCATTACCCGGCAGTCGCTCTTGCGAATACTCAGCCAACGAGACAGATCTCGTTGGCCGAGTGGATATGGTAGATTACAATGAATTTTATATAAACTTACTAGAGAAAGTCCCTTGCATTACTACATTGAGCAGGGCTCCGCGCAATAGTTGTTGTCTCTGCTGGCGAGTGAATGAAGCGCCCACCGCGGCCAGCTTACGCGCCGTCACCGGGCTCAGCAGGGCGGCCGCGCGGAACGTCGCGAATGCTTGTCTGAAAGTGTCAAATGGTTTTATGTTTAACATCTGAAGGAAAGTATTTTTGTAGTAATAAATCTTGATATTAAAAATGTGGGAGAGCCATGCTTCGGCACGAATGGGCCGGCTCGACCGAAGTAATACCACGGCCGAGCAGAAAACCGACGTGAAGCAACGCTTGCGTTGTGTTTCGTCGTGTGAGTGAGGTTACCGTAGGCCCAATTACCCTCCCCTTCCCCAATTCCTGAATCCCCAACGATCCTCAAAACTCCTAATCCCCAAAAGGTCGGTAACGCACTTGTAATGCCCCTGGTGTTCCAGGTGTCCATGGGCGACGCCGATTGCTTACCATCAGGTGATCCGTCAGCTCGTTTACCGGCTTATGCCATAAAAAAAAATACAACCCGTTTTAGTGTCGTTTTTATCCCCGAAGGAGTAGGTAGAGATGCACATTATCCCACTGTACAATGTAACACCCACTTTTCACTATTTATGTTTCGAGTCCCATGTAATAGGAGTGAACCTATTACCATTACTGAGATTTTTTGTAAAAAACTAATTAATACTTTGTCCGACCCGGAAATTGAACCCGAGACCCCTTGCCCGGCAGTCGCACTTGCGAACATTCGGCCAAAGAGGTGGGCAGAATGAAACAAATTTTCATTCATGCAAAATGCATGTCTAACATTTGGCAAGCACCCAATTCTTATGTTTTCGGCTTACTCACTAAGCCGAAAATATAATAGTTTATTTAGTATGTCTCACGAAAATTATAATACAAGTACCCAATTGGTTGACTGAAGAGATGATCTATAAGAAATTGAGTAAATAATATGACTTACTGCAAACGCGACTCATCAGGACACATGGATGAGACAGTGGTCTCGAAGTGTCTCAGTTTCCTATTGAATTGGATGCCGTCTTCTCCAGGAGAGAACTGTTCTAACTGTAAGAAAAACAACAGTATATTATTAACAATTCGTTAAATAATACTAGCTTTTACCCGCGGCTTCGCTCGCGTCACAAAAAGATAGAAAGTAGCCTATGTGACATATATACCAATACACACAGCGCCATCTATACCAATAATTTGATAAAAGTACCCTATTATTTAATCCAGACTTCTAACTTCACATCTGCAAAAATTCAAAGCAATTGGTTTAGTAGTTACGGCGTGAAAGTGGACCAAACAAACAAACTCACTTTCCGATTTATAATACTAAGGTTTGTTACGATTTATAATACTAGTAAGGATTTAGTTAAATAAAATTTAAATAAATCCTTATTTCTATTGATTATGCCATTCAAGTGTGGGAGAGCCATGCTCCGGACGGGCCGGTTAGAAAGAAAGAAAAAACATTTATTTAGCACCAGACACGATGCAGTATAAATAAAAAATAAAAAAGACAATAAAGGTGTGACAGTGGAAGTAATAAAAACATACGAGTTGAAAAATTAAAACAGAAGAATTAGAACAGAGACGCTGACAACATGTCTATGCTAAAAGGGTCATCCGGTCGGTACGAACGGAGTCACCACGGCCGAGCAGAAAACCATAGTGAAACAGCGCTTGCGTTGTGATTCGTTCTGTGAGTGAGGTTATCGGAGGCCAATTACCCTCCCCCCTCCAAGATCTCCCGAATCCCCAATAATCCTCAAATGTCTAATCCCTACAAGGCCGATAACGCATTTGTAACACCTCTGGTGGTCCGGCTGTCCATGGGTGACGCTGATTGCTTACCATAAGGTGATCCGTATGCTCGTTTACCGGCTTATCCCATAAAAAACAAAACTTGAAACGTCGAATCTACCAAAATCATGCCGACATTTTGGTTTTAACGATAAGGAGTTAATCACAATATATTTAAAAATAAAAATTAATAATTTAAAATAACATATTTTCAAAAAATAATTTATGACATTATCATAAATTTACTATTTTAAAATATCAATTTTAACGTATGGCTAATAAGCAATTTTTGTATGGCATAAGCCGGTAAACGAGCAGACGGATCACCTGATGGTAAGCAATCGGCGTCGCCCATGGACACCTGGAACACCAGAGGCGTTACAAGTGCGTTACCGGCTTTTTTGGGGATTAGGAGTTTGAGGATCGTTGGGGATTCAGGGATTGGGGAGATTAGGGAAGGGGAGGATAATTGGGCCTCCGTTAACCTCACTCACACGACGAAACACAACGTAAGCGTTGCTTCACGTCGGTTTTCTGTGAGGCCGTGGTATCACTCCGGTCGAGCCAGCCCATTCGTGCCGAAGCATAGCTCTCCCACACTTATGCGCAATATAATAATAAAATTTTCAGGTATTCATTTTTAATAATAATAGATAAACAAAATGTAAAATTACATACCAAAGTCAGTAAAGGGACATATTGTTCATCGACCCGGAGCAAATCTTTCAGAGTAGAGTCCTCTTCTCCCGGGGACTCGGAGTCCGGTAATTCTGGTGTCTCCGCTCTCTCAGGCTCGACGGACTCTCTCTCCGGTTCTCTTTTAACTTCCATTCTTGTTGGGTCTGTAGAAAAAAAGATTGTTTATTTGTAAAACATGCGTATACATAAACCGAGTAATCAGACATGCAAGCTGTCAAATAAGTATGTTGTGCGTCCATGTTTCGCCAATAGCGGCGTTAAAAATTTTGTAGGTATAAAAATTATATTTAATTTCAGTAGCAATTAGTACAATAATAGTCAGATTATTAAATTCCATTACAGAGATAAACATAATAATATGAATTTGATGTCACAATATTTCAAAATTAGGTAGTTACTCATATGATAGTCAAGCATAAATTACGCCCAGTATATCCATTATTATGCAGTCAAATAGTGGTTCTTAAAACAAGTCAATTCATTTACAAATCAATACTAAATTATATTATTATGTCCAGTAGGTATACAACAGATTTTTAAGAAATGTACATTGTATTATTCTTCACCATTAAATATGTTATGCGAAGTCTGAATTAGAAAGTCTTTTTCATTCAAAAAGTCCCGTACACTGTAATAAGCTTTATTAAAACCTTCTCAGCTTATTTTTAAAATGTGTCAAAGGTAGTTTTCTCAAACTTTTTGGTAATTTATTAAATATCATGTAATCAATACGGAAAAAGTGTTTCTCACCAGTGGATCGAGGACTTAGTTCAGCCAGTGTTCTAGCGGCGGCGTCAGACTCGGTGTCTCGATCGTCACCGGGACGTTGTTCCCGCAAATGATGCCGACCGGTGTACCCTCTCCCGCGGCCAACACTCGACATTATAACTAGCTGGAATTAGAGAATGAGGAATTAATGTGAGTTAGGGGACTAAAATGTGACGTAATCTTAAGTACAGACAGCTAAAATATTTGGTATACAGTTGAGATGTTTTGTTTTTTTTTATGCAAAGCCCGAGTGAATAGGTTGCTTATGGGACGACGTGCTCCATCGTTGACCGCATCACCGCTTACCACTTAGGTCCCTTTTCACCGAGCTCTGTAAAAACTCAGTTACACGTAACCTAAGTTTAAAGTAACCTAAGTTCTGTGTTCTGTGTTTTCTGTACTGAGTTCCGTGTAAACTAGTTTCTGTTTGTAGCGGTGAAATGTAAAATGAAGCTGTAACTTCGTTTAAACGCTTTAAATTCGATTAGACGCTTTAAATCAGTTTTGTTAGGTGTAATCGTGATCAGTTTCGTTGGTGAAAAGGGACCTAAGCCAGATAGTGGACAAATGTCGGCCAATCAATTATAAAAAAAATGTGTAACGGTGCAAATAAATTGTTGTTCTTTCTTTCTTCTTTCTTTAAAAAAGCGCAAAATTAAATGGTTTTTCTTTCTTTCAGAAGTAATTCTTTTATAAACTACGTTTAAACAAAACCGACTTTAACCAACTCTTTTTTTGAAGTCTGTTTATTAATGTACTAAAACCTCCTCCTAAGTATAACAAACACTTTGAAAACGGCAGCAAATTAATCAGGGCCAGCCAATCGCGAGATAATCCCGCACAAACATACATACATACATCCATAAAGGTCAAACTGCAACCTCCTTTTATTTAAGTCAATTAAAAACAAAGATTGATTCAGAGAGACATTAACTATTGTTATACTAATTTGTACGCTTTGTAACGAAGTCATATCATTTGTAACTCAGTCGGTTCATTAACCAATCAATGATTACTGTCCCGAAGACGAAGCGTGGGCAGGCCTCCCGCTAGGTGGACCGACGACATCGCCAGAGTTGCGGGGAGCTAGTGGATGCGGGTGGCGAGTTGTCGTTCGACGTGGAGGACTAAGGGGGAGGCCTTTGTCCAGCAGTGGACGTCTTTCGACTATTGATGATGATTACTGTCTCTGTACTGAATCAATATTTATTTTCTTTACCTGCATACTAAATAACTTCGCTGACTGTACATGTGAGTTGGGGGAGTTGGGATGTGACGTGATATAATGTGAGTTGGGGGTCTTAGCGTGAGTTTGAGGTGTGATAAAGTGAAAGTGTGTTGTGTTTTAGCTGTGTAGTTTTATTTTAAGTGTATATCTAAGGAGTTTCTGCTAAAATAATGTCAGATAGAAGAATGAAAAAGAAGATTCATCACAGTAATATTATAATTATGTAAAAATTTCTTTGTTGGGTTGTTTTTCCGTCAATCACGCTGAAACTACAGAATGGATTTTGATGGAATTTTGTATACAGGCAGGGTATGAGCTGACTTAGGTGGTAGGATACTTTTTATCACGATAAACGCTCCCATGGGTAACCGAAATCATATTCTACGCGGACGAAGAGCAACAGCTAGTATTATATCAATGTGACGAAAACTCAAAACAAAATATAGAATACTTATGACCATTTTCAACAGCCTCTAAACCATCTTTTGGAAGGCTATAGGCTATAATATATAACGCTACCATTAATAGGCGCCGAGCAGAGCGAGTGAAACCGCGCGGAAGTAGCTAGTTATAAATAAATATTTTAATCGCAAGTGCGACTGCCGGCCAAGGGATCTTTACTAAGGGTACGATTCCTGAGACGGGCAAAGAATTACGGGGTTTTTTAAAAAAAATCTCAGTATTAGCACCGAGTCTCGAAATGTGTCCGGTATATGGCAATAGGCTCACCCCCTATTACATGGGACTCATAACATAAATAGTGAAAACTGGGTGTTACGTTGTACACAGTGGCATTAAGTACCATAAATGTGCACCTCTGCCTACCCCTTCGGGGATAAAAGGCGTGATGCTGTCATCTTATTATTATGTTACTAGCGATCCGCCCCGGCTTCCCACGCAATATGCATGTATTACACATATAAACTTACCTTAAGAATCATTCTATCTATTAAATAAAACTGCATCAAAATCCGTTGTGTAATTTTAAACATCTAAGCATACATAGGGACAGACAGACGGCGGATAGCGACTTTGTTTTATACTATGTAGTGATGTTTAACCGACTAGTCTCGTGCTATTTACTATACATCGGTCCTAGTAACAAGCATTCGATTAATGAATCACGGCGCAATAAAACCTAACACGTGTGAACTATGTGGTAATTATAATCAACGTAATCTTTGTTTAGTAATTACCCCCATTTAAACATGGATGCTTAAATATGAAGAACATATGAATTTGTAATTAGTTGCTCTATTTATGGGATAAGCCAATAGCGAGCAGACGGATCACCTGATGGTAAACGGCGTCGCCCATGGACACCTGGAACACCAGAGGCTTTCCAAGTGCGTTATCGGGATTAGGAATTTGAGGGTTGTTAGGGATTCAGGGGTTGGACAGATTGGGAAGGGGGATAATTGGGCCTTCAGTAACCTCACACGACGAAACACTAGGCAACCATTGTGTCACGTCGGTTTTCTGCTTGGCCGTGGTATCACTCCGGTCGAGCCAGCCCATTTGTGCCGAAGCATGGCTTGCCCACATATAATATTATATTTCAGAAAGTTATAGATGTTTATAAAACATCACGCTACGATGAATAGGAGTTGAGCAGTGGGTTGGTTAAACCGCGCGAGTGTAGCTAGAAGGTATTAAATGTAGATCCATGTTATATAAAACTTTTCAAAATCTATACATAGGTAATAAAATCGTAGAAAAGTGAAAACTATACATTAAATATTTAAAAAAATATTTGTAGCGTGATATACAATCGATATTGAAGCCAAAAATATGGTTTTTAGAAGTTTGCCTATTTGTCTGTATGTATGTCCGGGATAATCTCAAAAAGTATTGCATGGATTTACTTCAAATTTTGCATGAATATTACTGACAAGTCGGGTCAACATATAGGCTACATATTATCACGCTATCATCTACAGGGGAGGAGCCCTACACTAGGTTTTGAATCAATTCTAATGACATTCGTTACCGTAGAATATCCCTTGATAAAGACTCATTCAAAAGCCTAAATTCTGCCAAAAGTCATTATTCTAAGCGGATGAAGTCGCAGGCAACAGCTAGTAGCACATATGACGGTGAAAGAGTATAAAATACCGTTAGCTTACCAAAGATAATACAATAAACATGTCCAAATCTTTTATTCAAAGTGTGACGTCACAATATCGAGATCGTATGAATAACTGCAAACGTCTTGTCGAAATACATTATCATATTATTATCGTAAGTCGGTTGAGTGTCGCAATTTTCTCTTATTATTATTTTTTGATAACCTTGATGGATTCTTTGTGATCGGTCTGTTTATTATCAACTGATCTAGAGTCTAGATTCTAAACAGTCCACGCTATGGATCTCTTCTACACCATTTTTATGGAATGAGCCGGTAAACGAGCAGACGAATCAACTGATGGTAAGCAATCGTCATCGCCCATGGACACATGAAACACCAGAGGTGTCATAAGTGCGTCCGGCCTTTTGGTGATTAGGAATTTGAGCATTGTTGGGGATTGGGGACGGATAATTGGGCCTCCGGTAACCTCACTCACACGACGAAACACAATTATTGTTTATTTAGTTAATTTAAGAATGAGCCCAAACAAATTTCCGTTTTGAGGATAGCGGTAAAATGGTCTCTGTTATTATTTAAATAACGGTTCATTTAAGTAGATATTGTTCAGTCAACTGATGGTAGCAAGGTTGACTGTCCAGGCGACACACGTACTTAGGTATCGTCATGAGATAATGTTCACATGTAAACAGCAGCTCATGCAGTGTAGATGTCCAGTCAACTAATGGTAGCCAGTTTCGCTGTCCAAGGCGAGCCAGGCGATTATAACCCTTAATGACACAGCACAGATTACTTAACGACTAGCGATTAATTTTCGGTACCAATTCGATTGTCATTAAGATTCAAAATCGCGTCGCAATCAAGGTGTGAAATCGATGACGCGTTGGGTCTTTCCGGCGCTAAGTAGTATAGTTCGCCTTATAAGGAACGATTAGCAGTTTTATTTAAGTATGACTAAATAATGTCATTCAAATCTGTGTCGGTCATGATGACCAGTGCAAACAAAAGTAAATTTTAAGTGTAGGAGAGCCATGCTTCAGCACGAATGGGTCGGCTCGACCGGAGTAATACCACGGCCGAGCAGAAAACCGACGTGAAGCAACGCTTGCGTTATGTTTCGTCGTGTGAGTGAGGTTACCGGAGGCCCAATTACCCTCCCCTACCCCAATCTCCCCAATTCCTGAATCCCCAACGATCCTCAAACTCCTAATCTCCAAAAGGCCGGTAACGCACTTGTAACGCCTCTGGTGTTCCAGGTGTCCATGGGCGACGCCGATTGCTTACCATCAGGTGATCCGTCTGCAAGTTTACCGGCTAATGCCATAAAAAAAATGTTGATGCGTCACCACCGCTGCTCTACCCGTGGATCTCGCAAGAGCCGACTTTAGAACTACACTTAGGAGCTAAGGAATGGAGCCACCGGCGTCTTTGCTTTTGCATTTCCTACGTCCTGAAATACTCCTACGTCACTCAATTTTAAGTCATTCTCAACTCATTTATTTAGAGAGTATTTCAGAGATAATGTCTGAAAAATGGCGGTAAAATAGAACTTGATTTATAATATTTATAATTCATCATTTCGACACTATTAATATGTATGAGAGACATTGTAGAACATACTTTTTGAAAAGAGTAACGAATGGAGTTTCGTGCTCGTTTTGGAATGAGCACCTAGCTTCACTGACGGACTGACTGACTGACTATTATTTATTTTGTATTTGTTGACGTTTCAAAAGTACCAAATTATGGTTTAACTCGTCGAGTACCGGTTTTATAGACACAAATTAAGAACAATAGGTCGCGGTCACCGGTGACCGCTTGGTGTTTGACAGTTTAATTGAAATAAATGCTTTGACTTTGACACTATCTAATATGGATTTTAATAAAAATCTACCAACAATACAATTACATCAAACAACGCTAATCAATGGTTTAAATACTCAGGAAAAGACTAGCCTTTCGATACTAATACAAACGAGATCATGTCGGCTCCATAAATTTTTGGGTCTTTTCGAAATAAAATTGTACGTATCGTTAGAATTAGCGATTGAAGCAATCTTATATACTTATATACTATTATATAAAACGAAAGAGTTTGTTTTTTTTGTTTGTTTGTTTGAACGCGCTAATCTCCGTAACTACAAGTCTGATTTCAATAATTATTTTTGTGTTGATAGCGCATTTATCGAGGATGGCTATAGGCTATAAAACATCACGCTACGACCAATAGGAGCTGAGTAGAGAGTGTGAAACCGCGCGAAAGTAGCTAGTAGTTAATATGGCGTAAACGTTGTAGGATCCAAGATGAAGAAGTAATGCCAGTATTCATTGCTTTCTAAAGGTAATGAGCGATATTGCTAGAATAAATAATCTAGTTCTAACCATACATACCATCCTAGCCTTTAGGTAGCAATAAATGTATGAAAATGATGAATCTTCGGACTGGTATCATCATTTTAACTATTTTAACTATTGCTCCAAACGGCTAGTTCTAACGATACATATCATTTTTTGTCCTTCTCCGACACTTTCAGAAAAGTTATCCAAAAAATTATCTCCTTTCACAATACCTACATAATATACAATAATATAATACCCTACAATAAATAGCCATTATCTCAAATGATACAAAATGATGATGATAACAAATATACAGAAACGGTGATATAGAATAGAAAAGAACATAAAATAAAAAATGATACCTTCTTCAAATCCATAGTTATCTGGGGACGAAGGAGAAACAGAATGAATTAACTGCAAAATATCTTGGTGTTTGAGATTAATACATATCAGCCTGTAACTGCTTAAATGTACCAAGGCCTCTTCTCACACGAAGAAGTTCCAAGCATTAATCTTGTTTTGGTATAAATAAACACCAGCCTGCAACTATACTGCTAGACAAAGGCCTCTTCTCCCACTAAGAAGGTATAATATTAATTGTTATATTTGTAGCAGGACGATTAATTAGTTGATATACTGGTAATGCCAACGGCCTCTTTTCAAACGGAGAAGGTTGGTTTAACACAAACTGATGACTTCACTCTCACTATAACACATTAACCGCTGCATAGATCATCAGTGACCTATGTTAGCAAAGGATTTGCCTTCAACAGTTTCCTGTCGGCAGTCAAAGGTGTAATTGGGTTTCTTTCAGCATATAAAATTAAAAGGACTATAATTACAATTGGAATGAAGCGTAAAAACATCAAATTAAAGTGCATTAACCAGTTGAAAAGTGACGTTCAAAAGTGCCTTCCTGGTCTAATTGAAATAAATGATTTTTTGACTTTGAAAATCATCCCCTAAATTTATTCATACAAAAGTAGTCTCTAAACATCGGAAATAAGGTTTATAATAAAATTAGTGGCGAGCAGTCACCGGTGACCGCTTGGATATACGAGTTAAGATGTGTGTCGATTTATTTTGTGCTATATATTTTGGGTGTTAAAAATTAATTTATTTGTAAACCATTGTTGAAAAATGTTAATTAGTGCTCAGTGCTTTGGAAGTTCAATGACCTTTGTTCATAGTTAACGAGTCTGAACGAATGTACAAGTTGTTATTCATAAGAAAAATAGTGTTGATGTCTTACTATACTTTCGTTACCTACTAATATTATTTGAATGAGAAAGTTAGTTAGGATGTATGTATCTTTGTTAGTCTTATATGAAAACTACTAAACGGAATTAGGTGAAACTTTGCACAGAAGTAGAATATAGTTCGAAATAACATAGGTTAATTATTGTCTGGGTAATGTGGGCAAAGCCATTCAGAGAAGCTAGTATAATATTGATGATTGATAAAGAATCCGTGTTTGTGGTGTTGCCCAGTTGTTGATAAGTAAATACAATAAGTTTTGTTCCATATGACACTATAGTAGCATTTATATTAAGATTAGTATGTAGGTAGTATCTTATAAGATTAAATTATTATAATGGATGCTCACTAAAATAATAAGTAGGTAATTAATGGTCTAATAAGGATTGTCATGGTACAATGCTAGCCTAAAATAGATGCTATCAAATAACATTATGAATAAATAACACAAGATATTAAGTAGCTATATGTTTCTGTATTCCATTAGTTTATAAATAACTACATAAATATAACAAATAATGTAATGAAATTGTAGGTATTTGTGTATTGATGTGCTTCGCTAAATAAATATTGCAATAAGGAAAAAAAACAAAATATAAAGTTCGAGGCTGTCTGACGAAAATCTTCGTACGTCTTTAGAAAAAAAAAACACAAAATGCACATGTCAAAAAGCGTGTGTGATATTTTATTACCGTGATCACTAGCCTTGGCTGAATATCTCGAAAATAGTTATTTACACGACATTTATCACTTAACTCAATACAATATGACGCTTGTAAAGATAAATATGCGCGCAACAACACCTTCCCACTACGCTAAATACATAAAATAATAAAATGAATGACATGTAAACATCATGACAACTAAAAGTGTCACACCATGCATGTTTTCAAAAATATACAGGAAAACCATCAATGAAAACTCAAAGGACACGTTAAAAAGGTTTTGTTTACAATGCTTTCAAATTTGATTTAAATATTTATAGGCTATGTATCTTTTAAAAATATCTTTGTTCGCCGGCGAATGCTACGATGACGATAATCGAATGTATTTCCTTAAGCGAACGACGCATAAAAATGGACGATCAATCAGCCAAATATGTAAAACAACAGTTTAATTATAAAAATTACAAATATTTACTCACCAAGTTAAATAATAGAAAGTATTTTTGAGTTATTTATTTCCTAGTTGTTTGGTCGCGCAGTAGTTGACATACGTTTCACTTCCATATTGGCGAGTGTAGTGATGTGCGTTTGAGTTTTCGAAATATGATTTTACGTTGTGAAAACCGGAATTACCGATTTATGATAAAGCGCATAATTCAATAAAAAATAAAAAGGGAAATCGACGAATTAAAGCAAGTTTGAGAATAGTTTAGCCCTTTGTTTAATAATACATTTAGATTTTGGTAAATATTTTGTGGTTTAGGATCAAAGGTTCATGCATTTCTGAACGAAATGTAGGAAGTATCGTCATGGAATCATGGATATCGTTTATCGTTAAAGTTCACAAAAATCAAACAACATAATTAACATATTGATTCAGATGTCTGTATGTGATTATTTTGAGACAATTTTTTTATAAAATATTAATTGTAACTGATAGAATATTCGGTTTATCGTTTAAATGCTATTGAAATCGATGGAATCCCTGGCTGAATGCCGATTGCCGATCGAAAAAATGACATTTCAGTTTCGGGGGTGAAGCATGGAAGAGGGGTGTGCGTATTTGCTCGGGCGGATAACTGAAGAAATTCTATTTTCCATCTGTTCTATTTAATTTTTTAGTTTTTCATGACTTTACTAATATCCCAATAACGTTATACTACCTAATGTTTTTATTTTTATACCGCGAAGTGTTCCTTCAATCTTAAAATTTATTTTAATCACCACTGCGGTTGTTTGTACTGCTGTTTTTATTATTGATATTTTTATTTCATCGCTACTGTGTGCAAATATTTTCAAATATATTACTGAAAACGCAAGTGTAATACGTAAAGAGGTTTTAACATTGAAAAACCGTAAATTAAATCGGAAAAATTAAGAAAAAAAATAATATTAAAAAAATATAAATTCAAACATGTCTGACGGTCATGGGGAGCCGAATCAGCTGAATTCCAGTAGAAAAGAAAGTGTCGCAGCAGCTAATGTGCCTAGTGATAGTCCTGTGACGGACCCTGGGCAGGTGCGTGGCGGGAACACTGAGGCTGGTGCAGCAGCAAGCAAATACGAGGGCCAGCGCGGGAAATCGGGTGCTTTGAAAAAATCTGCCCGATACAGGAGCAGATCACTTTCCGCGTCTTCTGCAGATTCCTACAGTTCTACATCATATACTGGTGAGTAAATTATAAATTATTTTTTATTTTCAGCAAAATGACCATCCTAAATTACATTAATTCAATTGGAATAACTGTTTAATTAATGAGAGTGCAATGTCATGGTAATGTTTGTAAACAATGGTAAGTAATTTTTTTTTTTGTTGGATTATGGCCAAGGAATTTTTATTCAGATTGTCAAAAGAAAAACAATCATTTTTTTTTTACAAATAAGTAATTGTTTATTTACTTTAAAGGTATAAAATTTAAAACCCAAAAACCACTACAATAAATACTTATAAAATAACTACAAAGCAAAACCAATGAACTTTCATTTTTCCATCATTGTTTGTCATAAACATAGAATTATAACTGAATGGAAAAAAAACAAACAGTACAAGCCAATTAGTTGTACAAGGAATTTTTTTTCCTGTATTTAACGAAATTATAAAATGTAACACAAGGAGATCAGGTAAGAATAAAACCCGCTACATGTTACACAGCAATAGTTAGTAAAGCAGTTAACAAAAATATTGCTGAATATCTATATGATAGATTGCAATACATAATAATAAATAAAAATGTTACACAGCAGTTAGAATAACTAATTTCTGTGCCAACGGTACAGTTATTTGTCTTTATCTACATTTATAAATTAGCAAATACCTTAGATTTTAATATTAATATTAGTTTGAAAAACAGATTTGTCTTGAAGGTTGCAATATTTATTTATCTATATGGTGTGTGAAATGTGCTATTGTTTCTTATTTTTCTATTAAATAGATGTTACAGTGTAAATTATAGACCCATTTTTATGGGTAACAGTGTAAGTGCAAATTGAATTATAATCAAACTGAATTCACAAGTCATCAGATTACCAATTACAAAATTCTTAAAAAAGAGGTCTCAGTAGGTACGATAGGGTTAAGAAAGTTAGCTCGGGATAGGTTGGCAGTCAGAGAATAAATAGACATACCGATACACATACATGTCTGGCTACCTCCAATGGCATAAATGTACCAATGGCGGTCTGAGGCAAATTTATCAAAGCAGAGACCTAACAAATATAAAAAAGGAGAGTCCAGATGAAAACTCCTGAACGGAGGCCCCTACCAACCGGGTCTGTGGAATTTTGCTGACTTGCCACCCTGTTGTTATCCTCTTTCACAGTTTTTTGTGACCTTTCTATTGTACCAGTCGCTAAGTAGTCTGTTGCCTAGCATAGGCTGTCCAGAAAATGGAATGCATAAAATGGCGCTTACAAAATAGTACAAAACATTCCTCCTTTTATTCCCGAAGGGGTACACAGAAGTCCACATTATGGCACTTAATGCCACTGTACAATGTAACACCTACTTTTGTTATGACTCCCATGTAATAAGGGGTGAGCCTATTATATATAGTGGGCCCAATTCTAGACTCTGTGCTACTACTGAGATTTTTTAAAATCAGTAATACTTTGCCCGACCCAGGAATCGAACCCGAAATCCCTAGCCCGGCAGCCGCACTTGCGACCACTCGGCCAACGAGGCAGTCTTATACAACGTTAGATTAAATATAGGTACTATATACCTACATATAGCCATTTTGCTTATGTTTATCTACAAAACAAGCGTTCACCAAAATTGGTTCATTGCCTTCAAAATACACCGAAAAAAATAAAATTTGGAAACATTTATTCATCACCAGATGAATATATTGCGCGCGAGAGACATTATGATAATCAAATACATTATTTGTAGTGGGTAAACAAGGGTGTTGAATAAATAGGGGTTTAGGGTGATTGAACTAAATTACCAAAATGGTCGACACATACCTACCATGGTGCTCGCGTTCTTTTCATCCCAGTGAAAATTACTAAGTTTTGCTAAATGTAACGCAAGGTATTTTTATCCAATCACTGGAATTATCAAAATTTTATATATTCAATAGTTTCACACTAGCTGATTCTCGGTTGGACACGCGTGACATAACACTACATTAGTGTCACGTGATGTGCAAAAATACAATAGCCCTCATTGCGGTTGTCCAAACGCAATAGCTAGACAGCTCAAAGAGCAGTTCTCGGTGTTTCCGAACCCCTTTTTAATCATCTGGTCTTAATAAGCACCTGGCTTTTGAGAAGCAACATTAGTGAGGGACATCGGGTATTCTGAATAGACCAGGATGCTTACTCTTGAAACCAATCTCAATGTCAATGCAATTACAATCCAATATAATCTCAATAAGTATTCAATGACAAAACTATATAACCCCAATCACAGCTGTTAAATACCTGTAAAATAACATTCAGAGTACAGAGTATTAAGTCAAACTCAATACCATTTAGTTCATTAAATATCCACGCAATACGGATGCAATGGGCATTGTGTTGAAACTCAAGAGTACTACGAAATTTCGTAATGTCAATATCGATTGAGCGGAATTGGATTCAAGAGTAAACTCCCAGCTCTGTAGCTTCCACTGATCCACGATGCTTCTCTTGTTAAGACGCATGATTAGGATACTCTATAACACCTAGCGCTTGACTGCCCTCGCCGAAAGGGTTGTTAAAATCTATTATAGTAAGAGCAAGCTGTCCAAAAATATGCCAGATATAGTTAGGCGAGCTTTTGTGATCAGATGCATAAATGTGATGGATGCTATAAAAGTTGTTAAATATAATTATGTAAGGATCCTAGTACGTGGCGCTCTGTAGTTTTCTATCTACCATGGGATAAAGACTACAGAATATGAATGTGTGTTGTGTGATCACCTTCATCATAAACGAAGAAGGTTTGACCATTAATCACTACACATGCTCATTCCGGGTTGGAGATATCAAACTTATAGTTAGAAATTGTAAGTTCAGGTTTCCTCACGATGTTTTCCTTAACCTTAAATAGTCTTAGAAATTACACGTAGGTAACTCGAATAAGTCACATTGGTACTTGCCGTTCGTAGGTTTAGAATTCGCACCCTTATGTATGAGAAGCGGGCGTCGTAACCAGGCCACAACGTCGACAGAACATCTTATTAACAACGAGTATCTAACTAGGAGTCTTTTCGAGCGTTCAACGTAGTTAAGGCCGTACATTTAACAGCGTATTACCACGCAATGAAATGCGTGTTTACCATAACGTTATGTTATCTGTGGCGGCCACAGAATGAAAATATCCTTGACCTTTACCCCACAAATCGATATAACTAAGTATTTACAATGCAAAACTTAACTCCAATGTTTCTTGAACATCTTTATGATTGGTTTGTATTAATGCCAACAAGATGCTCCAATCGATCAGATTGTTTTGATAGGTTTTAAACTTTATTGCTGTAAATACAAGGTTGGGAGTCTATTAAACCTTCAAAGTTTTAAGAGAAGAGCAACCTTCTGAAAAGGCCGGCAAGTGGCAATGCACTTGGAATTACTATTGAGAGTGTCCATGGGCAGCGCTGATTGCTTGTCAGGTGATGCGTCCGCTTGTTTGTCGGCCTACCCCTTCAAAAATGGATGGAATTCAGCAGTGGACATCTTGTGGCTTGTTTATCTAATGCCTTTAGAGCCGATCCTTCCAACGCCAGATAAATATTGACTGAGGAAAGACTTTGAATATTTGTCAATAGGGTAGTTTCCTAAATTTTATTTTAATGTCCGTCTGGTACATTAATTTAAAACTTGAGACTTTGAGACACGTATTTTTTCTTTTCTCACAAAATCAAATACTTTCGACGATATATTAATTTGAAATATCGTGTGACGTCACTGCGTGCCACATTTTGTTGCACGTTATGACGTAACGACCTCCCATTCCTAAACTTAGCGCCATTTTATCTAAGTATTGCAACTTAATACGAGAAATACAAAAATACGTGTCTAATATTTTTTCATTATCTAACTGACGGACTAATTAGATTTTTAATTTTGATATCCTGGAAACTACCTAAATTCTTCAAGTCAAATGTCATTTTTAACCTACAGTTAAGAATTAACTGATGATTGAAAAATCGGCCCTTAGGCAAGCAATCTTGTAGGTATTTATATACATAACTATGTATCAACGAACTCTAAGGGTTTCGGGGGTGATAAATCGATCTAGCTAAACTTCAATTTCAGAAAATGACGATTATTAAAAAAGCACCTTGCAAAGTTAGGTCATTTTTTATGGGATAAGCCGGTAAACGAGGAGCAGATCACCTGATGATAACCATCGGTGCCGCCTATGGACCAGAGCCGTTACAAGTGCGGTACCTTTTGGGAATTGGGAATTTGAGGATTGTGTGTGATTGGTGAGACTGAGGAGGGAATTAATAGGGTAGATGCCTAATTTTTTATTTTAATGTCCTTCTGGTAGATTGTTTTAAAACATTAGACACGTATTTTTTATTTCCTTACAGAAACGAATACTTTCGACGATATTTGATTTGAAATGTCGTGCGACGTCACTTCTATGTACGTTTTATACATAGAAATGACGTTTTGGCCGCCACTCCTAAACTTTGATTCGTTTTATCTAAGTATTGTTGAATTATAAGTACGTCAAAATAAAAAAAAAATATTTTTTCATTACCTACCTAACTTACGGATTTATTAGATTTTTAATTTTCATACCCTGGCATCATCCCAATTGGGCATCCAGTAACCTCACTCACGTCACGTCGGTTTTCCGCGAACCCGTTGTATCACTCCGGTCGAGCCGGCCCATTTGTGCCGAAGCATGGCTCTCAACACTCAAAAATCTTCATCCAGGGTACTGATAATAATCGGATTCAAAATCTCGTGTTGTACAGAGGTCATAGGTCATCAACTCATCAAGGAACATTTACCTAATTTTAGGAACGGGTTAGGTGGCAATTATTGTCAGAGTTCGCATGTTCAGTACTTCGTTGATGACTTTCCATATCGTTTAATTAAAGATAGAGATCTATGGACGTATCCTTCAAAGTTTATGACAAATTCGCTTGATTACATCATAAAACATCACGCCTTTTATCCTCGAAGGAGTAGGCATAGATGCACATTACGGCACTTAAACTGTCAAACA